GGTGAAATGCTCCGGGTCCGATGAGGTAGGCTCAAAAAGCGCCTGTTCTCCTTTGAGTGGAGTTTTTGTTTCGTCAACATGGATCATTGAATACATCTGCAAGTGGAACTGGAATTAGAATGACACGGGCTTGTGGGAGAGGGTTCCTCGCAAACCACAATCGTTACCAGATTCAGGTCCCAAGTGTGAGACAAAACAAATCCCAGCAAGATGTCAACACTTGAGCCACGTTTTGCCTGCTGGTTTGAGTTCTGCACGTGGGTGGCGCTAATCTTCCAGTAACTCTTCGGAAGAAACTTGGGTGTGTTGAACTAAGCTCGGCTCCACTCATCGAGCCAGAACTGAAGAGTGGAGGACTTGCAGCTGTGGGTTCCCTCCACCCACGGAGCCAGTTCTGGCTCCACTAAGCCGAGCATATCTGAGCATCCACTCATTTGGGCATCAAAACATGTAGGCCCAACCCGTCCACCCTGATCACCGCGAACGGTCGGTCGGTCGACCCGCGGATCTCCGCCTTCGACTCGCGGCCGTGGGAGGGCGGAGATCGAACACCACCATCGGCACCATCATGTCAAGGAGGCCGCGGAGGAGACATGCGTGGGTCTCCTTTCTCGAATGAAGTGGATCCAAACCTTGGGGGGGTTCCTCCCTATTGAACATATACACCCAAATACTTGGTCAGAAGTGACAGGGAAGACCTCCAGAATTTCTTCACACAGTCAAGAACGAGGGGTACCAAGCAATTTGGGGTGGAAAGAGGTTCCTTGAGTCCCCTCGCACGGTTCCACGGTTCCACGCTTGCTTGCGTGGACCTAAACACCTATATTTGTCAAGCCAAATTCCACGGGGCACTTCCATGGAACCCTGGAATTCCACTTCCCTGCAACGTGAGGAGTGTAGTGAAAAAATATGGGACTCCCTCTACTGAATGCAACACGGAGCAAGCCAGTGGGTTTTGAGCGACAGGGAATGGCGATAGGTTTGTGAGGAAGGGGGGCAGGTCTGGGTCTTCGGTTTGAAGCAATATTAGACTGTATTCAATAGATGATTTGACCAGCTCCACCATGATGCTGATAGGGGTTAATGGGAGGATCGCAGCCTATAGGCTCCCCACGGAAGATGGCCTTCCACCGAAATCGATGATGACCGCCACACCACGGGGGCCTTTCAAGGCAGAGATGGGCGTTCGAGCACGGCAGCTCTTGGAGGATGCGCTCGAGGAGGGAGCTGGGACGAGGGAGGGTCGTGCGCGCGTCCTGCGCAGAGGAGGAGGAGGAGGGTTCTTGATCGGATGGCTCTGAGACTCAGAGGACGACGTTAGAGGGATGTGAGGGAGCGCTGTTTTGGGTGAGTCTGGGGGTGGGGGCAAGCTAAGGACCCCCTTTTCTTTTGTTTCCGATTGGGAATGAAGAGGGCTAGAGGGGCCTGAATGGCTACCCTTCGGTATGCTCACGTTTAAAAACACCGACGCAACATGTACAATTATAGAATGTATATTCGAATATTATAGAATATTGTAGATGGACACGGAGAACATGTTCTCATGTACTGTAGACCAAGTACAGCGGTAATAGTGGAGTACCTTCTCCATCCAGTACAACAGTGTCGCATCCTGTCTTCAACTCGCAGCTATTCGAATTTGATGAGTCCATGGGAATCCAATCTATATAGACTCTTGAGAATTTGCCCGCAGCTCTTCGATCCCATCAAATCGCTCGCATTTCCATGCTGAGTCTCTGAGTTCACAAGTGTTAGTGCTGACATTAGAGCACTTCTTGAGGATCGAACTGTAGCCCATTGGATGAATTTTGGAAGGATTCAGACTGTTCATGACAGTCCTGCACAGCTGCGGTTGAAAGCAAAGTTAAAGGCCAGAAGCCATCTGCCCACCATCTGCCAAGCTCTGCCACCTAGTTCCAGGGCGAAGGTTTTGTCCAGGCGTGTAGGGCTCTCTGCGAGTTCCACCCAGCGGATCGCTGGGACTTTGCGCACCGAACTCGCGGTACACGTCGTGGCCGCTCCGTCGAGCCGCCAGGTGCAGAGGAATCAACGCCCGAAGCCAGGCGGTGGCGAGACAGACGCGCCCCCGAGCAACGCGGCGTTCGGCGAGCGGTGCGCCACGGAGCGAGGCGTCCGCCAAGGTTGGGGTCCATATCTTTTTCTAGGGAGAAAGGAGATCCCCCCCAAAAAAGAATTGGTGGACTCGGACAGGTTGATTTTCCTTCCGGGGGGGGTCGTTGGGCACAACGCTAACAGCATTCCTTCGTAGAATGCTTGGCACTCGATATCTGGCTAGTGACCCGGCTGACAGAATGGCCTTTGCCAAGCAGTACTTGTTAGCTCCACATGCGGGACCTTTCTACCTCGAGGCCAACGTGAGCCGCTTGGAGAAGACACCCAAAGGTGGACTCTGGTTTTCAGACCCCAACTGGCCCAAAGATTCTTCCCTAAGAATCAAGGACCCTCAAAGGTGAAGGTTTTGAGGGTCCAAACCCCTGCTATGCAGGGTCCAAACCCTCCATAGGAGGGTCCAATGATTCTTATAGGGTTGGATGATTGGAATGATGGGATGTTTTTTTTAATGGCAGGTCACACCCACACGTCGGTTTTGTGTAGCTCGGCCCCCCAAAGTGCAAGATGGGAAAGTGTTTTAAAATATGGAGACAAGGAGGTCTCCCCAGTTGACCTGGGAGGTCTCCCCAGTTGACACACCCAGATGGCCCCGCACGAAACTGGCACTCTACAGCAACTGCTCCACAGGTCCCTTCGATGGCCGCTGGTCTTGTCGGGCGAAGGGAAGTGGTTTTGTCGATGGCGTGCCGTGGGAAGGGCTGGACACAAAGGGAATCCACAGCTGGATCATGATTTGGCTGGTGCTTTGGAATGTTTGACAGATCGATAGTTGATAGATAAGGTTCTTGCTTTGATTTTTCTTCTCATTTGTTCCTATTAAATTGTTCCGGTTTTAGATGCTTGAGCAGCTTATCCATCACAATTTACTTGGATTCGACTCATCCAGATATGCTGCGGTACTTGATGCCTGGGTTAACACACTAGCCAGAAGGGCCTCGCTTGCTCCGGGAAGCTGATATGCATCCTCTAAGTCAATGATTAATTACCAATCCAATTTATTCAGAACTTCACTACGAATCGTGTTGCCTTGTGAAATCTTTTGACTTGTTCCATATAGCCGTGCCTACACTCAAAATAAAAAGGGATGGCTAGAGCCCTTTTTTCGAGGACCCATTTTATTAGTATAATGGTTTGCAACATAGAACGGCTATTGTTCCATTTTCTATAATTCCATGATTTCTACTTTGGTACAGGATCGACATCAGCGGGTGCGCATGTGCTGACTCGAACTGTTGTGACCCCAAAGAAGAGGCATACCTGGTAGGGAACTCATTCTTTACAACTCCTCTTACATGCGCAACAAACACCTTTGCCATGTGCGGTCCTTCTTCAACACTGGCCGCCTGGCCTCGACACTCCAAACGAACGCTTGGGACCCAGGCCGAGGACCCGATCCTCGCTTGCCACGCCTGACCTGAGCGCGCCCGGTTCGGCTCGCGAACCGCCGGCTCGGAGCCGGCGTTCGGAGCGGGCCCTCGGGGTCGGAGCCGAGCGGAGAGCGGGTTCGGAGGAGGTGAAGGTTCTAGACCAGCTTCCCAAAAAAACATGGCCAGTTGTTGGTGCCACTTATTCGTTCATGCGGAATGGTGAGGCCTAAGTTGGCACTTTTTAAGTGACAGGTGGATCAAAAGTCGATGGTGGGTATAAGTCCGGTGTGGGTGTATAACAAAGCCCAGTCAGGGTCAGCTCCCCGGAAGCATGATCGTGGAAGAGAGTGTAGATCCTGAATACATCACTTCTATAGATCCACAGGAACACCTGCTGATCTGGCTTCCGTCACTGACTGGAGGTCGGATCAGCACCACCACCTGAAAAGGTTGTTGGACCATCACCCAAAATCCAAACCCACCTAAAATATCCCCAGCTCTGTTCTCAGAGGGCATGTGGATCCCTCGAGATGAGAAAGGCGTTGGATACGACCTGCTGCTTGAGCTCGTCGACTTCCACGAGGTCCCTGGCTAGACACCGCCCTGTACCACTGTGTTTGGTGAAATCAGATGACCTGCACTTCCGCTGGCCGTTTGCCCCCGGTGCATCCTGCATGACCATTGCCCCGCCCCCCCGCGGGCGCGTGTGGCGTGGCGCCGCAAACGCGGCGCGGGGTTTTCCCCGCGAGCACGCCACCGGCCACCGGGGAGTGCAGAAAGATCGCTGTGCTCCCGGCGGATAAGCCAAGTCGCAAAAAGCGCAGGGATATGATGAGTCATGATCGGGGCAGAGGTGGTCGTTAGGTTTGGACGTCCTTGATTTCATTGTAGGTTGCATTTTCTGATCACCACGTGTGATTCATCTTTGTTAATGGCGCATGGACACTGAAAGAAGAGTGTTGGAAGTTGGCTTTCCTTAGTTACATACCAGGGCCAGAGGTGTTCTGTCAGTTTCCGTGTTGTTTTTGAGCAGGGCGTTGGATTGTGATATCAGAGATTCCCAGATGGGAGGGGCTAAAATGAGCCATATAGATCTTTAGTCCCTGGGTGAACTTACGACCGGCTGCAAGTCGATTGCAACAAGGGCAGATACCCTTAGAATAATAAGGCACCACTATAGATGTTTGCTTCGGACAGTTTCAACGCCCGGCAGTGTCTTATGTTCGGGTTTCATTGCGCAGACAGAGTGAGTTGTAGAGGGTTGGAACCGGAGATCCGAACTCCCAGACGACATGGGTTGCGCAAATGCAGCACAATTCGGAATGCTGAACAAGATCCAACACAATGAAATCATGGACGATCATGGAAGGATGAGGGTTCATTTCTTCTCGTTCACCATCTGTCACCGGCCAATTTGACCATGAACACCATCCTTTTCCTAAGGTGGCTTCAAAAGGAAGGGTCACTGCACTTGCAGCATCCTTGGCCTTCCCGGCGCAGGCGCTGGATGACATGCCTCAGAACATTGTAGACATCGTGGATGCCGGCCGCACCGGGCTACAGGCACCACGGCGTGGCACGGGGCATGCCTTGCGCCACTTCTTCACTCAATTCATATACTTAGTTGATGGGTCAAACATGGTCAAACATCCTTGCAGTTCGATTGGATTGTGAATATTTGGTGCAGGAGTGTAAGGGTTGGTCTTGGTTCACTCCCCTTTGAAGGAGAAGTTCTTTCAAAACCAGTCGGGACCATTGAGGGAAAGGCTGACTAGGGTGGTCATTTGCAGATTTAGAAGCACTGCGATATATATATATATATAATATATATATATGCATAATTATGCATATACATATATATGCCCTAGGGCCTTCTCAGAAGGTACTTGGAGCCTCTTGGCACCTACATAACAGTGTCTCCATGCGTCTCCCATCACCCAGCAGACGGACTCCCAACGGAATCGGCCGACCCTGGGGACCCGACCGACACCGACACCGTCTCGGTGCCCACCCGCCGAACCCCAGGTGCCCCGCACGCAGCGGGCGGCGCCCAACGACTTCCGCCCTAATCGGATGATCAAGGCACCGGCGGGCGGAGCGGGCTGCTGCTGCTTCGGGCAGCGCGACCCCGGGGGGTCGGACCCGGAGATCGGGGAGATCGGGGGTGGGACCCGGGGTGGGTGGAAGTCACAGTGTTTGCAAGTTCCAAGTTGCTGGTAGGACATGGTAAGGTGGAACGATGGCGCCGCCAGTTTGGGGTGGTTTGAGGGTGGTTATGCCTAATTACATTGGGTTGGTTTGAGGGGTCAATGTAGGCCTATATGGCATACATGGAGTGTCTGGGTAATAGCAATAGTTAAGGGTCTGTCCTAGTAAACCTGTAACAGTCAGTAAACACTTATCATCATTTTTGAACAAGGCCTTTACTTGTAACAGTCAGTAAACAATCATCATCATTTTTGAACAAGGCCTTTACTTGTAACAGTCAGTAAACACTTAAGTACTTAGCATTATTTTTGAACAAGGCCTTTACTAACCATCATCATCCATTGAAACCAGGTAATAGGATAGACTCATATGGTTGACCTGGTTGTTAGCGTTGTTAGTCTAAATACTTAGTAATGAAACAATAGATTCATGTTTGTTTGGAAAGACCATTAACAATGGTTGTTGGAATCCCAGGGGTATAAGGACTCAGCCAACTGGGACTCATGGAATGCCGACCAGCGGAAGCACGATTCGCGCCCGTGCCTTCAGGGGAACACCCGAACCTTCCGCGTGCTGCAGCGCACCTGCCACAAGCTTAGAGGGTGCCACCGAGCCGTGATCAAGGAGGCCTTCATTGAAGAAACACCCGAAGAATCCGAACAAAAGGCACTTGAAAAGGACACAAATGAACAAAGAACCCTTGAACATTGGAGGGCGAAGAGCCTGGATTCTTAGGGTAGTTCAATTCATTCGGCATAGGCAACGACTCACTCTGGTCATCATATTTCAGGCAGGTGAAAGAATTTCAACACCGTATCATGCTGTCGGAGGCAGTGAACCTCCTTGTCAGAGAGTCTGGCAATAGGATACTGAAGTCAGCGTTTTCGCTGACTTATTGTAGTGTGATCCATTGGGATTGCAAAATCATACATCGAGCCCGATACTCAAACATATACCGGGTGAATGGACCGACAAGAATATATTATGTAGTTAACACCTTGCTGTCCAAAGAGGAACTCCTCCAACCTTTTTTCCGGAGTGCCTTCTTCTCCTCTTTTTCCCGAAAGCATTGCGAAGGGTTCTTCCGGAAAATCCTTTGAACACTGACACTTCGACACTTACACTTACACACTGACACTTCCACACTTACACACACACACACACTGGAAGAGCGAAAGCATCCAAGTGCGAAGTATGCCCGTGTCAAAGTATGCAAGTGTAAGTATGCAAGCATGATATGCAAGGGTGAGTATGCCATGATATGCAAGGGTGCGTATGCAAGCATGCAATGAGCAGGCAAGTGTGAGTATGGAAAACTAGCACGGGAGATATCCTAATGAAAAAACATTTCCCCACTTTATAAATTCTCTCTTAAAGGCGGAGTGCGGGACGAACAGCGTCAACCGAAAGTGCAACCCTCTGCGGAGATCGTGCGTGTCGAGTGCGCGAAATGCAGGCGAGAGTGCGATTTGCCGGCTGCGCGCGCAACCCTCTGCGGAGATCGTGCGTGTCGAGTGCGCGAAATGCACGCGAGAGTGCGATTTGCCAGCTGCCCGCGCAACCCTCTGCGGAGATCGTGCGTGTCGAGTGCGCGAAATGCAGGCGAGAGTGCGATTTGTCCGGTGCGCGCGCAACCCTCTGCGGAGATCGTGCGTGTCGAGGGCGCGAAATGCAGGCGAGAGTGCGATTTGCCGGCTGCGCGCGCAACCCTCTGCGGAGATCGTGCGTGTGGAGTGCGCGAAATGCAGGCGAGAGTGCGATTTGCCGGGTGTGCGCGCAACCCTCTGGCGACTTTGTAGTACAACTTTAGTACGCGGAGTAATCTATGGAGCTGTAAGCTGAGAACTGGCGACTTTCTAGTACAACTTTAGTACGCGGAGTATCTGGGGAGCTGGAAGATGAGAACTGGCGACTTTGTAGTACAACTTTAGTACGCGGAGTATCTGCGGAGCTGGAAGATGAGAACTGGCGACTTTGTAGTACAACTTTAGTACGCGGAGTATCTGGGGAGCTGGAAGCTGAGAACTGGTGACTTTGTAGTACAACTTTAGTACGCGGAGTATCTGCGGAGCTGGAAGATGAGAACTGTACAACTTTAGTACGCGGAGTATGTGGGGAGCTGGAAGCTGAGAACTGGCGACTTTGTAGTACAACTTTAGTACGCGGAGTATCTGCGGAGCTGGAAGATGAGAACTGGCCACTTTGTAGTACAACTTTAG